CCTGTTCCTGAAATCCTTTGGGACTGGCTCTATGGCACCCAGAGAGAGAAGGCAGTCAACTTCTAGTCAGAGGAGGGTCTCGTGAGAGGGGTCCCTGAAGAGCAATGGGGTGGGAGGGGTGGTTGGTGGGATGGCTATGAAAGGGATAGGGTAGCCAGATTGAACAATCTCGAGGACCCATCTGTCTATAGTGATTTTTGCCCATTGATGTAGAAAGGGCCTCAGCCGGTGGTGAAAGAGCTGGGTTGTACAATTTGTGATGCTGCCTGTGACTGTCTGCTCACCCCCGACCAACGCATCAAACCTGTTGCTTGTTGTTGGGAGGCATGTTTGTCCTGCCGTTTGGGTTTCGGCGTCGCTGAGGCCTCTGGCGAGAACATTGGTTATCGAAGGGCCTCTGTTGCTGTTGCCACTGATGTCTAATGTAGGAGTAGTCGTATCTGCACTGGTATGGTGAGTACCGGCGTCTCTTTAAGTGGGGAGTGTACATCCCCAGAGTTCACAAGGTTTTTCGGGAGTCTTTAGAAGAGTGTAAGATTGAGTCCATGGTTTCTGCAAAGAGCTTATCCTTGTCGAAGGGTAAGTCCTCAACTTTGGCCTGTAGTTCCTTCGGAACTCCCGCTGCTTGAAGGAAAGAAGCTCTGCGCATAACGATGGCAGTAGCAGCAGAGCAAGCTGCGGTGTTAGCAACGTCCATGGATATTTGGAGGGACGTTCTTGCTGATGTGTAGCACTCCTGGATTACTGACCTCAGGATCGATTTCTTAGAATCAGGGAGATGATCCATGCGGGGAGTGAGGCGTGAGAACGTATCAAAAGTGTGGTTGGAGAGATGCGTCGAGTAATTGGCGATTCTGAGGAGTAGCGTGGCTGAAGTGTAGACCTTTCTGCCCAAGAGGTCAAGTCTTTTTACGTCCTTTTCGAAGCCCTGTTGTTTGAGGTGTGGGGCTCTATCCCTCTGTTGAGCTGCGTTGACTACTAGGGAGTTAGGTTGTGGATGGGCAAAGAGGAATTCCATGCCCTTCGGTGATACGAAATATTTCCTGTCGGCCCATTTGTTGGTCGGAAGGGCTGACGCTGGAGCACGCCACACTTCATCAGCCAGTTCCAGGATGCCTTCGTCAAGAGGGATGGCCAGGTGTGAGCTATGCTGTGGTGGAGATTCCTGAAAAGCTTGTGTTGCTCGTCCTTGCGTTCCTGTAGCGGGATCTCTTGTGTGATAGCCACCCGCTTAAACAACTCCTGGAACTGACGGAGGTCATCTGGTCTCAGCCAGTTCCAGGATGCCTTCGTCAAGAGGGATGGCCAGGCATGAGCTATGCTGTGTTGGAGATTCCTGAAAAGCTTGTGTTGCTTGTTCTTGAGTTCCTGTAGCAGGATCTCTTGTGTGATAGCCACACGCTTAAACAACTCTTGGAACTGATGGAGGTCATCTGGTGGAGAGCTGTCACCTGGTGTGTCTGCTTCATCTGGTGGGGACGAGTCTGGGATGGAAGACCCCGGTAGGTGGTCCCTGAAGGTGGTGTGATCAATCTGTGATGGAGGATAAGGTGGTGATGCTGAATCATGCCAGACCCCGGTAGGTGGTCCCTGAAGGTGGTGTGATCTATCTCTGATGGAGGATGAGGTGGTGATGCTGAGTTGTGCGGCGGGGTAAGAGGAGCTGAAGTTGGAGATCATCTGCGTGGTACATAATCGTAAGCAGAACGTGATCAATTGGACCAGCCGCTGCAGGAGTCTTGAGAGTGGCGGTCGACATGATGACCTTTGTCATGCCGCTGTGAGCAGTCGTGGTGATAGCTGGAATGGGCATAACATCGGTACGGAGAACAGGGCGAACAGGAATGGATGTCTGATGCCCTTGAAGAAGCAGGAGACGCAGAGAGCTGCCTGTAGTGTGGTATCTGCAGTGGGAAGGTGCAGCAGCCAGGAATGGTGAAGGCAGCCTGAAGGAAGCATGGGGGGATCCATGCCAATGGCTATAGCGGTGTGGAGAGCGAGGTACCGGGAGAGGCGAGGACGGTGCCAGCGATATAAGGTGGGAGTGAGAAGAGCTCCAGCGTGAGGAAATCAAAGGAGCAGGACCCGGAGCTCCTGATCTGCCGGCGTTTGTTGCAGAGACAGCCAGCGCGGTGTTAATTGGTGCCGGGGGCTCAGAGGCAGCCGCAGCAGCCAGCACCGTGCCAGCAGGGAGGCAGGTCGGCGCCGCATAGTCCGGCACCGCACAGAGGCTTGGAAGCGGTGCGGGTGCCGTGATGGTCGGCTCCGGGTCCGCTCTCGGAGCCGACTCAGCTCTCTGCAAGGGAGGCAGAGGCAGTAGCTGAGGCAATGCTGCCTGGGGAGCCTGTACATGCGAAGGCCCGCGTGGTCATTTCGGCTTTGGTGTTCAGAGTGTTTGGTGTTCGGCTTTTCCTTTAGTGTTCAGAGCAGCTGGCAAGGATCTTGTGGGAGAGATCCTGGGCTTTTTCTGAAGCCCCGTAATCGGTGAAGAAGCCCTGCGCTTATAAGGCTGTTGGTCAGGATCAGTTTGCTGGGGCTGCAGGGCTCTATCAAAGAGAAGCATCCGAAGACGCCTTTCTCTGTCCTTCCTGGCCCTGGAGGTAAGTCTGGTGCAGTGGGTACATTTTTGGGGGACATGGGATTCCCCCAGACAGCGGATACACTCAGAATGACCATCGGAGGCTGGCATTGCCTCCTGGCAAGAGCTGCATTTCTTAAAGCCGGCAGCTGACATTTTGCCGGTTCCCCTGAAGTCCTGGTAGCTGAGTCTTATCTCTACGTAGAGATAATGTGGTGATAATGTCTCTGTTAGGTTGTCTTTATCTCCTGTTGTTTCTTTCTTTCTCTGTTTGTGGGTTTTGTTTTGTTTTTAAACTATGTACAAAGGAGCGGAAGGGAAAACAGCTGAGAAGCGGGAGATAAGAACAAGCGGCTTTTAATCTTACTCCTGTTCAGATTTTGTTATTCTATGGTTTTTCTTTTTTTCTTTTTTTTTTAAGAAATGAGAGAAATAAAGGAGAAAGAGAAGTAAGGTATATATGTACAAGAGGAAAAAAACTAGAAATATTCTAATTTCGTGAAGAGCGTAGTTCCAAGTGTCTGCAGCCGCGGGCGGCTGGACCGCGCGAGACAGAAAAGAGTACGAAAGCCGTGAGCCTGCGGCACATGTGCAGTCCGGCCGAACACTGCTCATGACAAGCTTCCGTCTGCGGCGCCGGGGCAAACCCAGCACCCATAGTGGAGCAACCACGGGGACATCCCCGAAGAAGAACCATCAGATATAGTAATGCTCCACACAGTAAGCCAGCTGCAAAGAAAAACTAAGACCCCAGTTCTATGAGGACAGATTCCATATTTAATGTGGGAGATTTACATTACCACCATCTAGGGCAGCAGTAGGAAACATATGTCTTGCGTGCCAGATCCAGCCTGCCAAATCACCAGATCCAGCCCGCGGACCCCCCTGCTGGGACCCTCAGGCACGCAGCAGATGCTGTTTTAAACAGAGAGCTGCTCTGTGTGGCTCTCTGCTCTGGAGGGAGGGAAAGCTTCCTGTGATCTTTCTGACTCCAGCACAACCCTCAGCTCCTATTGGCCAGAAACAACCAGCTAATAGGGAATGAGGGCAGTGCAAGCCTCTCCCTGCTCCTGGAGCTGAGAGCCACATGGAAGGAACAAGCCTGAATTTTCAAGCTGTTTGGATTTGCAACAGGCAGAGAGCAAAACCTGCCTTCGGGGTGCTATAGGGGTGCTGGTCAGGAGACGCTTAGGTAAGCGCTTCCCAGCCCAAACCCTGCCTCTGGCACCCCTGCCCCTCCTGTACCCCAACTTCTTCCCCCAGGTCATCATCCAAACCCTCTGCATCCCGCTGCTCCAGGTCACAAATTATGATGTTCCATCACCTACAGTCCCCAGCTAAAACTTCTCCAACGCATCTTCAGTGATCTACAACCTATCCTGGACAACGATCCCTCACTCTCACAGACCTTGGGAGGCAGGCCAGTCCTTGCCTACAGATAGCTGGCTAACCTGAAGCAAATTCTCACCAGCAACTATATACCAGTAACTCTAACTCGGGAATCAATCCCTGCAACAAACCTCGGTGCCAACTCTGCCCACATATCTACATCAGTGTCACCATCAAAGGACCTAGCCACATCAGTCACACCATCATGGGCTCATTCACTTGCACATCTACCAATGTAATATATGCCATCATGTGCCAGCAGTTTCCCTCTGCCATATACATTGGCCAAACTGGACAGCTCCTACGTAAAAGAATAAACAGATACAAATCAGACATCAGGAATGGTAACATACAAAAACCTGTAGGACGGGACACACAGTAGCAGATTAAAAAGTAGCCATCCTGCAACAAAAAAACTTCAAAAACAGACTTCAAAGAGAAAATGAAGAGCTATAACTCAATCCCTGCAACAAACCTCGGTGCCAACTCTGCCCACATATCTACATCAGTGTCACCATCAAAGGACCTAGCCACATCAGTCACACCATCATGGGCTCATTCACTTGCACATCTACCAATGTAATATATGCCATCATGTGCCAGCAATTTCCCTCTGCCATATACATTGGCCAAACTGGACAGCCCCTACGTAAAAGAATAAACAGATACAAATCAAACATCAGGAATGGTAACATACAAAAACCTGTAGGAGAACACTTCAATCTCCCTGGACACACAGTAGCAGATTTAAAAGTAGCCATCCTGCAACAAAAAAACTTCAAAAACAGACTTCAAAGAGAAAATGAAGAGCTATAACTCATTTGCAAATTTGACACTATCAATTTAGGATTAAAGAAAGACTATGAATGGCTAGCCAACTACAAAAACAATTTCTCCTTTCTTGGTGTTCACACCTCCATATCAGCTGCTAGAAATGGGCCACATGGTCCCTCACTGAATTGACCTTGTTATCTCTGGCCTTCCTCTTGATTGATACTCCTTTCTTTTCATGTGCCTGTATATTTATACCTGCCTCTGGAATTTCCACTACATGCATCTGATGAAATGAGTCTTTGCCCATGAAAGCTTATGCCCCAATAAATCTGTTAGTCTATAAGGTGCCACAGGACTTCTCTAATAGAGGCAGCAGCACAAGGTGGGGGCAGGCAGAGTAAGTGCTCATGTAGAACTGTGGGAGGCACTAAGGGGGTGGGGTCAGGTGGCTCAGTGGGAGCCAATATATGCAGGCAGCTGGCTTGAAAGCTGGCTTCTCACCTGTATTCCCACCCCCCCCTCCTGCCCGCCCGGTGTTGCTGCCTATATTAGAGGCACCAGCACAGGGCAGGTAGAGCAGGCGACTCCACAGGATTCAGTGGTTGTGGAGAGCTGGCTTAAAAGTCAGCTCCTCATGGGCACTGGCTCCTGCCTTCCTCCTTCCTCTTACTGTCTCTAATACAGTGTCGTCAAAGGATTAACTGATAAACCCAGGTTTATCGATGATCATTTAGTTGTGTACATGTTGATATTCCTACTATGTAATTCATTTTAAAACATTCTTTAAAAATGAAAAGTGAAATACTCGAACAACTAGCCATTACCCTGAAATTCTTGCATCACTTTGGACATCCAGTCACACATACCTTGACCAGGGGCGGCCCATGGACCTAGTCAAACTAGGCAGTTGCCTAGGGCACCACTGCCCCAGGCGCCCCGTGATTACGTCACGGCCATTGACAGTCATGCAGGCAGGGGCGCCGATTGCGCCTTTCGCCTAGGGCGCCAGCTGCTGCAGCCGGCCTCGGGCCACTCCTGATTTTGACTCAGGGCTGGGCACGCTAAGCTACCCTACCTAATCTATCTCCAGTTTTGGATCCTCTACAGTAAATCAAAAAATTAAAATTAAAAACATGCATGCTCTGAGAATCAATATATGCACTTTTCCTTCATTTCACGAGACACTGCTTCCTAGCCTCACACATAAACCTGTCTCCACTTGAAAAAAATTAAGTTGGAAATTTAATAACGCATTATATAATCTAAAATTTCCATACACAGAGACCCCATTTGAAAAATTCAGGAAGAAAAAGTGTTGTGTTAAGTTAAATCCAAAATTAAAAGTAATAGAAACATTAAACATTTGTGTTAGGGAACAGTGTTTAGGTTGCTTGGCCAAAGTCTTTAACTCTCTTAAAACAGAAATGTGTTCTGTGTGGATAAAGACTGGGGTGGCATACATGTTGAGTTTGAAGAGTGGCTTTGGCAGGGCACCTATTTCAGGTCCAGATTGAGATCTGGGTTCATCCTTTATTTTTGCAACAGTTTTTCTTTTGAATGACAAGGTATGCTTTTTAGCTTTCTGCTTCTTCCCTATTTTTTTCTGGTACTCACTTGAAGAAAGAGATTCTGCAAGAAATAATGCAGAAAAAAAACTTTACTAAAGATGCCATAATAATACAATTAACAGCATATTAGAAACACTCAGCAAGTTTTAAAATTCTTAAAACACCTACCGTATGCATCAATTAAAAATCAGTATTTATATATACTCAGCAAGTTTTAAAATTCTTAAAACACCTACCATATGCATCAGTTAAAAATCAGTATTTATATTTTTTACTGAAATTTTCTGAATATATTTTACATAGTTTAATATACAGTAATTCCTCATTTAATACTATAGATATGTTTATGTGTTAGTGATTATGTAGCTTTAAGGCTATAACATAATTGTTAATAGATTTATGAACTCATTTGTTGCATGTGGTTGTTGCTCAATTTAAAACACTAAAATACACAATAATAATGTTATATATTATGCTATATATTTGTACTTTTATGAATCAGTACATGACAAAATGAGATTCTAAAGCAGGGGTCGGCAACCTTTCAGAAATGGTGTGCCTCAGAGTAATCTCCTGCCAAGAGCACTCCCAGGAGTGAGGGAGGAATGGTGTGCCTCAGAGTAATCTCCTGCCAAGAGCTCTCCCAGGGAGGGGCTCTCTCCACCATGTACCATACTCGGTCTCCTGCCCTGGGAGGCTGCGCAGCTCCCATTTCCCACCTCTCTGGAGCACCGGGGAAGGCAGGGTAGATAAGGCAGCACACGTTGCTATGGAGAGGGGAAGAGCAATGTGCATGCGCTTCTCTGCAATCCAGATCTGGTTTGGAGGCTCGGGGCTCCCCATCACCCCAGGAAGTCAGAGCTGGCTCCAGTCTTGTGGAGGACGTGATGCTGGATCACAAGCACAGGCTCCCCACTGTGGGTGGGGGGAGCAAAGGGGAGCTATTTCATTGCATGTGGTGCCACTGAAAATCATCTTGTGCGCCATTTATGGCACATGTACCATATATTGCCAGTCCCTGTTCTAAAGCATGGGCACTACATACTTTTGTTTTTGTTTTGTTATTGGATTTTTTCACACTAACAGTGGTTTTTCAAAACTTCCATACTCAAAAAGCAGACAGGAATTAGGTTTTGCATACTGACACTCACTGATCTACCTATCATACCATTGGTTTTTGCTGTGTTTGGTGGGGTGGAGATTTCACAAAAAGTCTTAAAGCCAAGTTCTATGTGCCTATGCTAGGATCCAAAAGAGAATTCAAACATTTGCTTAACTGTAAACATGGGAATAGTTCTGTCTCTTCAATCTCTTAGGTAAATAAAGCAAACAGAATTTAGCCACAAAACAAAACAAAAGCACATTTTCTTATCTTAAAAGATATACAAAGCCACTGACAATTTTGACCGTACAATGAAAATCACAGGTATTTTTTAATTTGGGTCTATAATGGAGAAATTAGAGCAAAATAATGAAGTCAATGTATTCAAATTCAATATAAAAATGTGTGAACTGATACAGCTACTCCTGGTTATCTACTTTAGATAACTGCTAAATTAAAGAAAAAATAGAATATACTTTACCTTTAGGCTGCTTGCTATTTTGGGGGGGTTGCTGAATCTTTTTCTCCAAGTCATTACGCTGCTGAATCCAATCATCCCTGTAACCATTACTCATCAGTTTGCTGAAATTTACAGGTTCGTTGTTTTTCTGACCAGGCCTATATAAAAATAAACAAATAAAAATAAAATATATAATCACACAAGAAAGAGTTCAGAAATAAAACATAAGAAAGAACTGGTAGTAACCATTTTATCTTACGGAAAAAAGAGTGATATTTTATATAAAAATCTTTTATATGCAAGTAAATAAAAACAAAAATGTCATTTATATTACTTATTTTTCCAAGTGTTCAATAGCATAATATTAATATAACATGGTTCTTTAAAATGTGTCATCTGGTTTCCATAATCAATCATAAATAAACATTGACTTTTTAATCATTAAGAGACAAAATTTTGTGGTCCTCATCCAACAAAACTCAATTAGTGGGAGATTTGTGTGATTGAGGACTGCAAGATTTGGTCTTGAAGATGGTAAAGATGAAAAGTATAATTAATATCAGAAATGGAGATGAAAATACAGTCAACAAGTTCAAAAACTAGATTCCTAAGCAATGTTAACTCTATGGGTATATCTACCCAGCATTTGGTGCAATCCTCCCAGCCTGGGTTGATAGACTTGGACTAGCGAGTCTCATCCCAGCACTCTAAAAATTGCTATAATGATAGCACTTTTAAGTTGTTGTTCAAGCTCTGAAGCCTACAAAGGGAGGTGGGTTTCAGAGAACAAGCTTCACCTGAACCACACCTTCAAAACATTGTCCAGAGAGCTATTTTTAGAGGGCTAGCCTGCGTCACGCATCTGACAACCCAGACAGGCAGCTCACTCTAAAATGCTATGTAGAAATACCAAAAGTTACATAAATGTGGCATTTTCTATTCCCATTTTTGCTGTTAAATATATACTGGATTCTATTCAAATTGTTAAGGATATATTATAAAACATATTGAGACTTTACATCTATTCCTTTCTATTTATAATAATTAAATTAAGTATGCTTTTAAAAACAACTTAAAAACATCTAATTATACACAAAGCTAATTGATATAACCATATGTTCCTATCAATTGTTCTGTCTCCTCTAGTACATTACACGAAAAGGGATTCAGATTAGACACATTGGAATAGCAAAATCCACGGGGATTTAAATATCCCCCGCGGTATTTGCATTAACATGGCTGCCGCTTTTTTACGGCTTGGGGAAAAGCCGGTGAAAAGCGCCAGTCTAGATGTTATTCTCTGGAAAATAAAGCCTTTTCCGGAGGATTTCTTATTCCTACTTTCAAGAAATAAGAAATCCTCCAGAAAAGACTTTATTTTCCGGAGAATAACGTCTAGACTGGCGCTTTTCTCCGGCTTTTCCCCAAGCTGGAAAAAAGCGGCAGCCATGTAAATGCAAATCCCGCGGGGGATATTTAAATCCCCCGCGGAATTTGCAATTGCGATGTGCTACATTAGCATCCCTTTTCCGGAAGGGATGCCAGTGTAGACACAGCCCTTGTGTCTTGTCTTAAATTAAACGGTGAAGTCTTCAAGCCAAAATGGTAACTTAATGTGTCTATACAGAACGCAGACCAAACAACAGTTGCAATCTTAAATAGATTCTTTGCATACTACTTTAATACAAATTGTTATAATAGAATTATGGTCCATTAACTACATTGCATTGAAAACCAAAACGATACTATTTTTAAAAGTCTTCTGTTTAAAAAGAAGAAAACACTGGATGTGCAGAATAAGCATCATTGTAGGAACCTAAAAATTGTCAATGGATTACTTGTGTGCACTTACATTTTCAACTTTGTTGTTACATTTAATGGTACATTCTAAAAATTAAATAACATGACTTCAGTTCCTTATAAACCATTTTAATATTTTAGATAGCACATGTCAAGGTAGTTCAGGCCCATTACAAATTTAAACTCTGATCCTACAAACATATATACAGGTGACTAAAATTACTTTTGTATAAATGTTTTCAGGATCAAGGCCTTAGTTAATACAATGTTTATGATACTTACATAGGTGGAAAGTAAAGCCTATTTCTCCGGTGGAATTCCTTATTAGCAATAGAGGGTGGTATTCTGTTTGGATATTTGGGGTTTATAGCAGGAAGCTTTACCTGTGTTAAAGAAAATCTAATTTAATAGCAATATTATGATTAAAGAAAACTACATAATCAGGAAACATCTAAAAAGGTGATTACTTTTCTATTTATAAATATCTTCAATATTTGCACAATTCAAAGTACAGTATTTCCAGCAGTAAGTTTAGGGAAGTAAATGATAAAACTGAAGAAATGAGGTAACCTTGTTTATTTATTGCTAATTTTATTACAGGTTGCATCTCTAAAATCTGGGATTCTCTGGTCCAGCTACATCCATGGTTCAGCATGACCACAGATGTTCTAGCATCAGAAAGTCCTGGTGTGCTGCAGGTAGGAGGGGCCCCAGGAGCTGGCACACAGCTCAGGGGTTGTGGGGTTGTGGGGGGGAGAGAAGGGGTGACATATGGCTCATCTGGGCTGCGAGGGGAAGGAGCAGGAACTGGCATGCAACTCAGTTGGGCTGCGAGTGGGAGGAACGGGAACCAACATGTGGCTCAGCTCGGCTGCGGGAGCCTGGGCATGGCTCAGTTGGGCTATGGGAGGGGCCAGGAGCCAGCACGCGGATCAGCTGGGCTGGGGAGGTGCTGGGAGTTGGAGCATGGTTC